CTCCCCTCTCCTTCCTTCTCTGCTGAAATTCTTTTTTTCATTGGGTCTGTCATACCCAGTAAGAAGTTCAATCACATTAGTAATAATGGTAAAAATAATTATAAAAGTTACTGTTTTAAATCAAGCAGGAGAATAGAACATTTAAGTGACTTTCTTATTGTAGGTAAAGCGTGAAGTATGAAGTAAAATAAGTTGAACAAGAATGAGTTATGGGCTCTCTAGAAGGAAGACTTTTCTTGCAAATGGGAGGGCAGTGGTGAATTGTCAGTGTACCTATGAGCATGTGGTCGAATGAAAGGGTCAGGCGGGATTGTGAGTGTGTTGCCAGTCTTCCTGTGGGCACCTCCTTTGAATCTCATGCCATTTACTAGTAGTGATTCTACTATTGGTGAGTTTCTACTATTGGTGGTTTCCTGTTGTGGAGACTGGTGAATCCAACAGGACATACCAGTAAATGAAGAAACACAAGTACACTGTTTAGCCAGCCATTCTCAAACATCTCAAGTGCTCTCTAATAATTCATTAGAGAAATTAGGATTCTCCTGATTATTGCTTGAAGAGCTTGTTTTCTAATAAATCAATGGTGAAAGGGTTTCTTATTTGATACTCTTTTTTTATGAAGTACCCACCATGTGTCATTCATTTTTAACATATTCTCTATTGGTTTTGCCCAGAGTGAAAACCAAAAGTCTGCTTTGCAAACTGTATGGTGAAGCTTTCAGCTTCTACGATGGTGCCTGGGGGCTGCTGAGGGAAAGGTCAAAGGGACCTGGCCTGGCCTCCCAGGTTGCTGCAACCAGCATGCGTCTACCTTATCTCTTTCATACAGTGGTGGTTTACTTATGATTTTGTTTTCATAAAATTCCAACGCTTTAAAGACATTTGAAAGCCACCACTTTAGGGAATTGGTATTATTGTACACAGTAAAATAAATCACTTCTTTTTGAAGAATTATTTTGGATTGTTCTCATCTCAAAAAGATGAAATGTGTGATTCTGTCTTCTCTCTCACTGAGTCACAGGTACTGCCCAGATTGGAATGTTTCGAATTTCTTCCCTTCCCTTCCCTTCCCTGCCCTTCCCTGCCCTTCCCTTTTCTTATTTTTAAACAAAAAATGTCTCTATAAAAAAGTTTTTATGTCAAAAATATTTTATGTATACAAATATTTTTTAAAAATATATATATTTTAAACCATTTTATTGAGGTCTGATTGACAGATAAAAAGCTATACATATTAATGTATTCAACTTGATGAGTTTGGAGATAAGTATACACCCGTGGAACATCATGATGCCTGTAGTTAAGAATACTGTATTGCAAACTGAAAAATTAGTGAAAGGAGTAGATCTGATGTTCTGTGTTCTCATCACACACACACACACACACACACACACACACACACACAATAATGATAAATCAAGAGGGTAGGAGGCAACTTTTGGAGATGATGGATATATTTATATTTTTATAACTTTGATTTTATGCTATAGGCATGTAACTCACAAACTAAGGAGTAATAACTTTAGTATATAGTAAGAGACAAGATTATGTTTCAAATGGCCTCGATTAAAATAATTTCTAGTTCTGCCTTCCAAAGAAAACTATTTCTAAGCTATACCTTCTAAAAAGTATTCAATTATGTCTTTGTTTTTTGAGGACATTACAAATTTGGCTTGTTTAAGGTCTCCTTCTTAAAAATAATGTAGGTTGAGACTGAGAAATTGATTTTCTTGAGGAATACCTTGATCTCTTGTTAGGTTGAAACAACAGGACTTATCTCTTCACAACAGCTTTCCTCAGATGGCGAAGAAGTGTAATTGACATTGTGGTGTGGGATGGTTCTGGCCTGTGTCATTTCCCATCTTCCCCTCATGAAGCATTTACAGGCTAGATTTCTTGTTGTTTGACTGGGATTTGTCCTTTATTGAGAGGAAGATAATTCAGAATATTTTGTGTGAACAGTGTTAGGGAAACAGAGATGAGAAAACAGCAGTTGAGGGAGACTCATGAGCCTCTGTGTGCTGTGGGGAGTATTGGAGAAACAAATGGGTTATAGTTTTCTAAGCATAGACTGGGAAGAGGTAACATCATTCATTTTAACCCCTAGTTGACCCTAAAGAGATATTTTTTTTTAAACTTCAAAGTCCTGAATTTGATATACAAGTTGATTTGTATTTCATTTGCTCTTAGATGATAACTCATTCCTAGTTAATCTAATAAGAACATTGTGTCCTGAACCTTATTGGGTCTTTCCCAATCATTAATTAGCATCCTGTTTATTTTTAATCAAGACATCTATTGCCACTCAGGGAGTAGGGGGAAAACCTTGAGTAGTAGAGTTAGTCATTGTTAACTATTTCTGGTATGACATTAAGAAAGTCAGTGCAGTTAGATATCATAGATTATGTCTTTCCAACTGATCTGATTTGTTTTCCCTTCCATTGTTTTAGTATTTTATACCTATATATTGAGACATCAGGCACCGTAGTGCTATGTAGTAAATGCTGAACATGTAATTTGTTTTGCCAAAAAGTTGGGAAGAAAAAGACTGGTTCTCATAAGGGAGAGTGTATTTATAATTATTTCTATGGCAGAATCTATATATATAAAAGCCTAACCATTCAACCATCTGACCGGTAGGTATGACGTGCATGACCACCAGGGTCAGATGCTTCAAATGGTAGCTATGACATGTACTGACACCAGGGGGCAGACGTTCAATGAGAAGCTGCAGAGTGACAGCAACTTTGCAGAGTGCTCTCTCACATTTGGGATCCTTGGGGGATGTGGACTGCCGGTTTCGGCCCCGAAGGCCAGGCTGAGGCACCCCACCTACTGGAGGGACCCCGCTCACTCCGCAGATGCCCTTCGAGCCCCGGTGCCGCCCCAGGTGCAGCTGGCTGGGGAGGGACGTGGGAGGTTGGCTCCAGGGCGTATCTGTCCTGTCTCGCCCAGTCCCACCCCACTGGCCACCCCTAATTAATTTCCTTTAAATGTGCACCAACCTGTGCACTGGGCCTCTAGTTTATTATAATTGGCTGTACGCTTTTAAAATAGTAAGAACTCCAGAGTTTTGCTTTTATTTGATCAGAACATGGAATTTCTTGATATGATATAAACATGAATGTGCAGGAAGATTATTTTTCACAGTCATTTTACCACTTTAAAAAGATATTCTGAATAAAAACAATCTAGTGGAAGGGCTTTAGTTATCTTTTACTTTTCAGTGTAGAAGTATTATTTCCTATACTTATGCTATGTGTGAAGACAAATTTTATTTTTGTACAATTTCAGTGAACTTCTGATAGCTGTAGTCATGAACTTCACATCTCTCTCTTTCTCTTCCTCCTTCCCTCCCCCTTTTTACTTCTCTCTTTCCCTGCTCCATTCCACCACATACTATTCACTTGTGAGGCAGCTCTGGTATAATGGACCAGGCACTGGGCTTGGTCTCAGAGGTGTAAGTTTGAGTTTTGCTCTGCCATATACAAGCTCTGAGGACTTTGACAGATACTTAACTTCTTAGGACCTTAATTCATCTATAAAATGAAGGAAATAGTCATCATGGTTGCAAAAGAATAAATGAAATATTGCACATGAAGAAACACAACTAATACTAACACCTTATTGAAATTTTTTTTATTGGAGTAAAATATACATAACATAAGAGTTACCATTTCAACCATTTTAAGTATATCATATAATGGCATTAAGTATATTTACAGTGTTGTGCAACCATCACACTCTCCATCTCCAGAACTTTTTTATCATCCTAAACAGACAGAAACTCTGTACTCACTTAATAATAACTCTCTACTTCTTCCTCCCCCAGTTCTTGGTAACCACCATTCTACTTTCTATTTCTATGAATTTGACTGTTTTAGGTACTTCATATAAATGGAGTCATATAATATTTGCCCTTTGTCTCTGGCTAATTTCACTTAGCATAATGTCTTCAAAGTACATTCATGTGTCAGAATTTCAGTGCTTTTCAAGACTGAATAATATTCCATTTTATGTTTATACTAGAGGCCCGGTGCACGAATTCGTGCACCAGTGGGGTCCCTTGGCCTGGCCTGTGGGATTGGGCTGAAACCGGCTCTCTGACATCCCCAAGGGGTCCTGGATTGCAAGAGGGTGAAGGCCAGGCTGAGGGACCCCACTTGTGCACGATTGAGGCTGGGGAGGGATGCAGGAGGTTGGCCAGCTGGGGAGGGACCGTGGGAGGGCTCCAGGGTGTGTCTGGCCTGTCTCGCTCAGTCCCAATCGGCCAGACCCCAGCAGCAAGCTAACCTACCACTCAGAGCATCTGCCCCCTGGTGGTGAACATCATAGTGACTGGTCAACCGGTCGACTCTCTGCCCTCTGGTGGTCAGTGCATGTCATAGCCAGAGGTTGAGCGGCCTTAGCATATCATTAGTATATTATGCTTTGATTGGTTGAATGGATGACCGGACACTTAGCATATTAGGCTTTTATTATATAGGATCATATTTGGTTTTTCCATTCATTCGTTGATGGACATTTGGATTATTTCCACCTTGTAGCTAATGTGAAAAATGCTGCTGTGAACATATGTGTGCAAGTATCTGTTTGAGTTCCCTTTTTCAGTTCTTTTGGGTTTACACCTAGCAGCAGAATTGCTGGATCATATGGTAATTCTTTGTTTAACTTTTTGGGTGACATTCTACTTTTAAGTGTTTTTAGAATCTATTGAATTGATTGTAGTGATGTGACTCCTAAATGGAGTATTTGCTCAGAGTGGTCATTTACTAGTAATTCCCATAGTTTACATGATGGGAGTCAGGACCGTGAGGTTACCTTACATTTCAGGACTTCAGGAACACCTTGCCAAGGTGGCAAGCTTTCTAGCCCATGGTCCTCAGAAATGTATTCCCTGTGGGCTTAGAGATCATTGAGGGTGAAGATTTGCTCTGTTGGCGCCCAAATGTGTTGGTTAAACAATAGCTGTATCAATGGATATATTTTCTGCTTTGCGCCTTTCTGCAGGGATTTGAGGAGACCGAAGAGGCGGACGACAGGCTGATGGGCTCAGTTGGTAGGCTGCATTATCTCACCATGACTGCCGAAAACCCGACGCCTGGAGACCTGGCTCTGGCTCCCCTTGTCACTTGCAAACTCTGCCTGTGTGAACAGTCTTTGGACAAGATGACCACACTCCAGGAATGCCAGTGCATCTTTTGCACAGCTGTAAGTTTTCCTTGATGCTTTCATCATGAGGATATACAAAGGGAAGAACTGTAAAGTTATAGGATGCATTTCTGTGGCTTACTGAGAAGCCAGGATTGCTACAATATGGTCCTACTTTGGAGAGCAACTCCACATTTGGATCTGTTTCCAAATAGTACCTTGAATGGTAAATTCTGTATTTGCTGGTTTTTAGTATACGTGTGTGAAATGTAATTATTTGTTGAGTAGACAGAGTTTTTCTGTTCTTAAAGTTCTGGCTAAGAAACAAAATAGAGGCATTTTTAACATGCCTCAGCTAACTATCATCCGTAAGAAGCTCATGGGGTATTTTGAATGATGGAGAAATCAGGTAGTAATTTACTGAATTTTCTTTCATATACTTGCTTGAGCATCTCCTACAAAGCACATGGTATGCACTGTTTTACTTTGTCATATCTACTCCTTTTTTTTTCTATTTCCACAATTTGCCCAAGGCTGTTTATCATAATAGAGAAACGCTATAAAAGTCCAGGCATGGGCTTGTCCCTTTCAGTCTGACACTTGGTATCAATGCCCATGACCTTTATTGTACGTTTCCCTGAAGGTTGGTTGGTTAAGCTATGAAACGAGGAAACGGACTGATGAGTTCCAAGTGACTATTAGAAGTATGAGCCCAGGTGGTTTACTCAAATTTTCATTTATTCAAATATTTTTTTGAGTTTCTGCTGTGTGCCAGGCACTCTGCTGAATGTTGGGAATATAAAAATGAATAAGATACTTTCCACAGGGAAGACGGACACATTGAAGGAACTCTGCTAGAGTCTGGTGAGATCAGGGATGGTTGAACGTAACACGCCATCTCACCCCCTCGGGGTAGGGTGTGTGGAGGGGCTTCCAGGTAGCAGTGACCTCCAAGCTGAGGCTTTAACAAGAGATTGCAAACCTGAAAACCTGATGCCCATGGACCACGTCTGGCCTCAATACTCTTTTTTTTTTTTTTTGATTGGGAAATGTAAAACAACTAATTTTATAAATTTTTCATGAAAAAGTAGTAAGATATAGCTACTCTGGGCCTGTGTTCATAGGTCCAGAAATAGATGATCTTTCCTCCATTTATGTACGCGTCTGTCTCCTGTATGTTTTTGAATTAACTGTACTTTCAAACTAAAGATGGATTGGTGAAGAGTCAGATGAGAAGCGTGCTGGCATCTCAGCATGGCACAGGGGAGGGTCTGATGCCTAAAGTTAGTATTTACCTTTATCTTTGCTTTGGTAGGCCTTGTATGGTCAGGCTGTTAATATTTATTATACAGACAATACAGTAATTACCCAACAAATGAAGGTTTAATGCCCTGACTTGTGAAGGGAATTGAATTGGTTAGTTACAGTGATCTGTGGTATAATCAAGGGAAATAAAAGAAAGGAATCATTTAGGAAGTAGAATCATTTTAAAAGAGGCATATTTATTATTAATGTTTACTAAGCATTCTTTTTTTCAACAGACAAGTTATAGTAAAATTTATTCCACATTTCTTTGTTAATGTAATCAACAAGGCACATTTTCAAACTAGTTCATATTAATTTTCTTAAAAAATATTTTTTTAATTGAGGATTACGGTAGGAAGAAGAAGCCTCAGCATGACTTTTAGTAAAAAGGAAAGGTACTGAAATCCTTTTCTCATGTTTTGAACTCTAGAATCCAAAGATGGCTAAGAATGGTATTTGTTTGTTCATTTATTCAACAACAATTTGGTGAGCAGCATCCTGTATGCCAGGAATTCTTCTAGGCACCAGGATTTATCAGTTAAAGAACCAAAACCTGGCATTGACCCTTGCTCTTGTCAAAGCAAGATGTACAATAAACAATAAACATAATGAATAGGTAAGATACAGTATTGGGTGATAAGGACTTAGAAAAAAAAATTGAGCAAGAGGTGAGAGAGTGCAGGGTGAGGGGATGTTACAGTTCTGT